CATAATTTTGCAAATTAACCAACCGCCTAATATTATCTGAACCATAGCGGTTTGGAACAAAACCAGATTGGTCTGCATGAATTATTTTCGCCATTACTGCTTTTAATCGGCCCGCTAAGACCTTTGCCAAGATTTTTTGGTCAGAATTCAGCAAAGATATAGGGCGGTAACCACTTGGGTCTAAAGGGTCTTTCCCAGTTTTAAGAATAAATGTTATGAGTCCAGAGTGCATTGACTGAGGTAATGAGCCTACTGTCTGATGATTTTGTAACTGGGTTGATTAAATTTGTTTAACATGTCATGTCAATAAATACTCTAAACAATTAAATGATATCATTTTAATGACTGAAAAAAACAATTCATCAAGTGTAAGAATATTTATTTTCAGCAAAACAGTTGGGATATCACTAAATTTACAATTCACAGTGGAAAACATTTCAGTAACAAAATAGTACTACATGCTTTATATGCAGAAAATATATTTAAACAAAATTCAGTTAAACTTCTTCAGACTTACAGAATTTAATTTGCGAACAAGTTGAATCTTAGACTTTTTAGAAGTTTTTATGAATGCAGTCTTCTGAGTTCCTCTGTTTTGTCAACATAGTTTTTAACATTATAAGAACAAAAAGTAAGTGAAACAACGTGGAAAAATAATCTAACTGTAAATATTTTTTCCTTTTTTACTCTGTGTTCCAAGAACTAAAATAGGTTTAAAGGGTTAGACAAATAGTAGAAATACAGTGCAATACTGCATAACTTGTGATGGCATGCTATGAGTGTCAACTACACACGGCTGAAATCTCTCCCCATTGTGACAGCTGTTGTCATAACGTCTGTGAACTCGGTGTATGAGTTCATGTGTGCCACAGGAAAGATGATTGTGTTTGTGCAGGCACTTACAAGTGGGTAACATATGTAGTGTTCAGGCATCGTATCTTTGTATTGATGCTCAAATCTTACATGTATTTTAAAATTTGCCCTTTCTGAAGGAAGGCATGGCTTGTGTCTTTGTCCAGTTAACCACTGCATAATCGCTGGGACAGACATTCTCGGTGGTTGGTGTTTGGAAATCCAGTATTCTTCCTGGTCCTGTAGGACTTGGATCCCATACTCACAGCTCTTTTTGTCTTTATCCTGATCTAAAGAAGCAGATTCGACTTACTTTAAATCTTTAACTGTCATACCACAAAATTTATTAATATGCAAAACCAATTTTGTCATTTAGACATGTGGTAGATTGTATAAAACATCAAAACATATAAACAAATCTTTACAGAGATTTCAGTTCCTCTAGACTGTTATCGTTTGTGATGACAATTTTGCATAGTATAGTACATTTGAAAGAAATGTTACAACACTGTATTTGTAACAGCTGTTGTGTTAATGTTGTTTTGATGATAATACCAGTAACTGGCCGACGGCACAAACCTGAGCTTTCAAGGTTCTCCAGGAAGTCTTGGAAGAAGTTGATGATGGCATTTTCTTTGGCATGCCTTGGACTTCCCCTCTCACTCAGCTCAGGCTCAAGGATGCTCATTATGTAATCAGCATCCGGCTAAAGAGATTTGGGGGGGAGGGGGGGGTGTCACGTGTTGTGATTTCAAATAAACAATAACAAAGATATTCTTCAATACTCATTAATCTGAGCAACCTAAATAAAGGCTGAAACAAAAAAGTCCTCACAGGGCTATTACTACATCACATGTATTTTTAGAATCTGTTGTAAAAACTAAACTGAAATAAATGAAGACATATTTACCGCTGTATCATCATTCTCATCTATGGGAACAAACAGGTTTGAACAGAGACTTTCGTGCCTTCCAATCACCTCCAGAAGGTTGTAGATCTTCATGCCATTTCTGATTTGCTGTAGCATTGGAGTCAGACGCACCGTAGCATGCACAACAATTGATCTATTTAGAAAAGCAAACACAGTCATTAGTGAAACTGATGGGGTATGGTGGTCTAAACCAGGGTTTTAACTTACAAAATATTACTTTCAAATGTTTCTGGTTGGTATATTGTCTATTAAAATATACTACCTTATTATACTGTCCCGTTTGTCCAACTTCACAAGTCCTGTGTAACCACGGCTCACAATGTCTTCAGTGAGGTCTGTCAGGTTGTCTGCCACTTCCACCTGAAAACATACAAAAACAAAACAATAAATAATTTCAAGTTTTTGAAATTATGTAACTATACACACAGTATTGGGAAGGTTACTTTTAAAATGTATTCCACTACAGAATACATGCCCCAAACTATATTTTTTAACGTATTCCGTTACGTTACTGAATGAGAGTAACGTATTCTGAATACTTTGGATTACTTAATATATTATCATGCTTTTTACAACTACACGAATGTACTATTACTATTACTGAAGGTCTGCGGCTCCGAACCATAGTAAAGGGACCTCTGGCTAATATGTCGGGTTCGTGTCGGGCTCGTAGCCAAAAACTAGCTTTACTTTGTTGTCTGGGTCAAATTTGCTAGTGAGAGACAGAGAGAGGCGTTGAAAGGCTGCTGCAAAGGAACTTATTGTTTCGGAGGAAAACACGAACACAGTGTACAGTCGTGTCTTAATGGCTTACTTACAACTGGGCTTGTTAGGCACTCTTTTTGGCTGCAGTGGTTATTATTATATTTACATGCTTCCAGCTCCCATTTCTGCTTGATGACAACTCGTACTTTTCCACTCTCCTTTTTTCTCCCTCCTCACTCTCACAGACACATAACGAGTATGGTAGTCCATTCTCCCTGCAGCACAGACTACACTGCCCATGAGGCTACAATCTTCAGGGCTATGACTGTAACACTCTGCCTATTAGCTTAGCACAACAACAACAACAAAAAGGCGCTCTCTCACCCAGGAAACACACAGTCGCAGAGAGAGCACGCGTCACCCTGTAACCATAGCAACCGTAACGCTGCCGCTGTGTAATTCATATATTTCAACAAAGTAACTGTATTCTAAATACCACCTTTTTAAATGGTAACTGTAATGGAATACAGTTACTCATATTTTGTATTTTAAATACGCAACGCGTATACGCAACATGTCTTATGTTACTCCCCAACACTGTATACACACACAAACAATCAGCATTTTTTCACTAGTCTGTACAAACACAGCTCACCTTTTCGATTAGAGACCTATATTCAGTGTCATCCACATCATCTTTGGTCAGCTGAAGAACATCGAAGTTTCCTGTTGCAAGAAACTGATAACACCAGCTTCTCAGGAAGCAGGGTGGTGGACCTCCCTGGGCAAGGCTCACTGAAAACACTTCTCCTGCACTTCTGCAAGATACAAAGAAATATTTAACATGCTTCATATGCTACATAATCCTCGGAAATGTATAAAAACAGACAAACCTGTAGAAACTATTTTCTAAATCACTGATGATGACATCATGAGATCATCATGAGATCATAAAAAGTACTGGTAACTTATTTAAATCGAGTTCTAATAACAAATTGATAAAAAATTGAGTTCAGCCTATTTAATATTTTTAATTAAACACAATATTACATTTCAAAATGTAATATTGTGTTTAATTAAAAATATTAAATATTAGATTATTGTCATTGCTGTGGATCTTTACCTGATACACTGACTTGGTGAGTAAATGTTTACTCTTATTCAAACTGATTTTGTGGCTTCTCTTAGTTTAGCACCAGGTTTATAATCTTGCTAGCTAGTTAGTGTTAGCCTAGCTTTGCCGCTGGGCTCGTGACATCATGACAGGGCTCTTTCCCTTCTTGCCACTGCCTTCAGTCGAGTCTCAATACCATGCATCATTTCTACATAGAGATACAGAAAGACAAAATAATTTAAAGGGTATACTGTAGCTTAATTTGATTTGGCCATATTCAATATCTGAACTGTAAGTACAATGTACATAGCTATATCAGTCAAAAATTCTTTGCTTAATGCACCAGTATCAATTCCTGCTTCTCCGATAAAAATCACGTGGAGTTTGTTGACAGGGGAACCCTTCTTCTGTCGTTGCCACTGAATGAAGCCTCTTTGAACAAGATCATTGCGAGTGATGCAAATCCTAAAGTCTTTGCTGGTATCCACCTGACTTGAAAGCCACTGTAGCACATCTGCTTCACTGAGAAAAAAATATATAAAATGATTATCGTTTCTTAAAATGAAAGCAAATGTATTATAAACAAAACCAGATAATCTGAAAGGGCAAAGAATATAAATCATACCTGACTAAATCAGTCAAAGGATCTGTTCTGTTGCTTGGCACACTGCACTCAGAGTCAGTACTGGCATAAACGTCTGTCATGTGAGTGGAAGTGTCCTCAGGTCTAAAAATTATGAACAATAGCAAAAATATATGTGATGTAACTTATGATGTCTTTTAACTGATTTTACTGGCATTTAAATTGCGTCCTGAGCTTAATAGGTACGGTGATTACATTGTGTGTTTCAATTATACTGTAAGCATTAAAATGTGGACCAAGTAAGTATTTACTGTAACTACATACTGAGCTCAAAACTGTAATGGCTTAAAATTTTTAAAAAGGAATCCGATGTAAACATAGGAAAATGTGTTTAATATGTATAAATTTGAACGAACCTTTCACCACACAAGCTTGCATGCTGGGCAATCTCATTCACTGGAAAGCAGCAAAGACAAATTGGGCATTCTTTCATGTCCTAGAGAAAAGAAATATTGTTAAAACATAAAAGAAACAATGATTTGTAAATATGTGGATTGAACATTATCACCTGCTTCATGTCAAGAGGCTCTCTACAAAAACTTGAATTCATGACAGACAGAAGCTGGACATTAGTCTATGAAGTACAATTGTAATTACTACAATGTATTGTACATTAACAAAAACAGAATAGAACACAAAAAAACCTTCTATAATTACGTGCACAAATATCCCAAATATTTATAGACTGTTGATAAGGCAATATTCCACAATATAACATAAATTCACCTCATCTTCCTCTTCTGTTGACTGAGACTTCACACAATTGTTGACATGGAGTGCTAGGATATGCAGAGGCATACTTTCCTTGCACACCTGGCAAGAAGCCTTTGGGATGGTTTGAAATCCAGCTGCATCTGATGGAAGAGGAGTAAGATCAAGGTCCTGCTGCAGCGGAACAACATACAAGAGGGTCTTTCCTGCACTGGAAACATTGCGGATCAGTCTTCCTGTGTAGCCATTTACATCAGGAGGAATTGCTACAAGTTTCCTCCTACCTTGACCACGTAAATACACAGATTGATAGAAAAAACATTGTACAATTTTCAACTTTCACTAGCATCTAAAAAGAATAATTTCAAAGAGGAAAATTATGCACCTGATGACTTGTGCAACAATCATCCTTGCACGCCATCCATTTTGGGATATTCTTCAGTGATCATTTTATTAATCTAAAACAGTACATAAGGGGACACAATTGGTAAAACCACACAATTAAGAAATATTTTTATCAGTGCTAATATATGACCCAAACCAACTATCATTTGAATGTCTATCATTATGATTTGATATAGAACATGTTTTTTATGTAAATGCATTTCTCTTATATAAGTTTAACTACATTACCATTGTATGGCTCATATCATCAGTCAAGATGAGGGATCTCTTTCCCAGCCCTGCTTGGCTCAGCTGCAGCTCCTCAGTAGCAGAAGGAGTGTTGGTGCAGCCTTTATTCACTAGATATATATATATATACACTGAATAGCTTGCTGGATTTAGGCCTCAGCGTGCTACTTTGGAGTGGGGAAAAGCGATTTCCCCCCCCTTTTTTCTTTTAAAAAATCCTGGAAATGACCTATATGTGAGAAGCAGAAAAATTTTTCAACATGCAGGGATTTTATTTTATTTTTTTACTAATCCAAATGATTAAAAGTATAATGGTTCAATACAATTTCTAACCTTGCCATCTCCGCCTGCACTGTATCTTTTGGGGTCTGGGCTTGTCCACCTGAGTGCTCGTGAGAGTGCTCAGCATTTGGTAGACATGTGGTATTAGGTTGCTGAAGAATTTGAGCTAACCTGTTGATTATATCTTGTGCCGCCGTTATAACACGGGCCTCTAACTCCTAAAAGAGACAGGGGCATCACTGAATTTAGCAAATTTTAGCTGCCAGCTAGCTTGCTACAACGAATAGGCTAATGTTGGCATTTTACCACAACTTCACCAGATTTAGCTAATAAAAACTACACCTATGTCCAGTTGAGTGAAATAGCAAAGAAAGACGAAGGAAAATGATTACTTACCTGCGGTTTAGAGGGTCCACTTGAACTTGATGCAGCCATTATTGAAATCTTGCTACAGTTATTGTCTGCACAGTTGCTACTCTGGATTTCTGTGTTTATTAAACATGAGCTGTACAAACAGCCCAGTGGTAAAACTTTCACAAGCTGTTGCCAGTCTTTGAAAAATTCAGAGTGCCTACACAGAGGAACTTGTAGTGAAGATCTATAGTGAGTAGCAAAGTCTGAAATATCTCAAGAGATCTGACCTCAGATCATGTTTTGATGCACATACTGCTGCACATAGTATCGCAAGATATGTGAGTGAAAATTCCTTTTTATTTGTGTTTGTATCGCTTGTGTTCAAATCAATCCATTTTCCTTGACTTTGCAGCAAAATGCCCGTTAAGTCTAGGGCTGCATTTACACTGCAGGTCTTAATGCTCAATTCTGATTTTTTGATCAAATCTGATTTTTTTTGTCTGCTTGTTCCCACTACAAATAAAATGTGACAGCAAACGCTTTAGTGCGAACCCTCAAAGCAGCCCGCATGCGCAAAAGAAGACGTCACACACAACGCGCTCTGTTTAGACCCAGAGCAAACAGTATTGTTTGACTGATGGCCCTTAATATAAAGACTTGTTTTGGACTTTACGTTTCCAAATTTTGCTTTAAGTTATAAAGTTATTTTGTTATTTACATATGGCCTAATAATTATCCTTATTGCTGTTTTAGAGAGGAGCGGTGCTTCAAAGGATAGTTGCAGATTTCTGTCAGAATCTGCAGATTATACAGTACAAATAAAACGTTCACGTTTCTCCAACGCTGTCTTCCCAACAGTTTCACTAACATCTACATGGGATGGCCAGGAAGCGTTCGCGATGTCTTATTGGGCGCTTCTCCAGCTCTGATAATTGGCGTCTGTCTTGTGTCAGTGACGTAAAAGACGGATTTAATGCGACATAACCATTCAAACAGCAGTTGCTTTTTAAAACATCAGGTACGTATCGGATTCAGTACCACATACAAAAGTGACCCAGATCGGATTTGAAAATATATGCGATATGGGTTGCATAGGGTCAAAAAAGTCTGATTTGATGCGTTTTCGCCTGCAGTGTGAACATAGCCTAAGAGTCTGCAAGTGTGAGTGTGCACACTTGGCTTGTATGTCCCTCCCCAACCTTTCTCTATTTGAATACTCATCTCCTCATAAACTCTTTTAAAACACATTTTAAAATGATTTCGTCCATATACATAACTTTTTAATGCCCAACAACCTAAGCATTTATAGGGCTAGAGGGCAAGGCAAATAACAGTCTGAGAAAAGTGGAAAGGGTGATGTGGCTAAATTTTATATTTAAAAAAAGAGACAAAAACAACAATGGGTAAAGTCAAAATACAAGGAGCTAGTGGAATAATTGGTCTACTATTTAGCTTTAGTTAACAATTACATCACCCTACTATAGTCACTGTCCTTTCTCCAACTGTCTCCAAACTCTGGTACAAGATAAAGTACTAATCCTATGAAGAACAGAGAGGACATAACCATAGACCACACAAACGATGGAGGGAAGAGGACATTGAGACTAATACCACATGTTGACAAGATAAAGAAAAATAGGGAGGGACTGATGGAGGAAGTAAGAGAGGCAGGGTGAGGAAGGTTGTGACTGGGTCAAGTCTGTCCCCACAGGCTTATGTGACTTACCAGCAGTGCAAGTTCAGCACAGTTCAAGGTTGGACTGACTTTTATTTGAGGAAGAAAAGTGAAACTTTGCTTATTCAGAGACATGGTGCTCTTAGAAAATGCATTTTCAATTTTACTTTTACATTTTATGTCTATATTATAAAGATATAATCTCCTAAATACCAAAGTTAGACTTCTTTATACCACTAATCCCTAATGCAAAAAAGAGAGTATTTTATTTTTAAATATTTACGTATCTCTTTTGTGTTAATGGTTATAAATGTTCCGTAAATGTAATCAATGAACTGGAAATCATTTAGGGCAAACATGTAAAAGGACAGCATTCATACTGTCTGCCCTCTGCACGGAGAATGTGAAATTAACGCATTATTTACTTTGATGCTTAAGGGGTAAACTACTACATTATTTATTCAGATGCACTGAGAGAGTTTCACTCACAGCAAATATTTGTATATGTAACTGTGTGTGTGTGTATGTAATAGCTTATATTCACCTGTGGAAATGAATGGAGACATTTAATATTAATAAATGCTGTAGGCTATTGCTGTTCCTTGTTCTTTTGTGTGCTTATATTCTGTACCCTGTGTGTGGATACATGGGTGTGCAAAGTAATGAATAATAAAGTAGATGTTTGTAATCATTACTAAAAGAAATGGCTTAATGCATATCAACAATTTTGTGAATGTGGCTGCTAAAATATGATAAAACTGGGACTTTGTGCCTCAGAATAAAAACAGACTAATTACATAGAAATCATGTCACCCGTAAAATCAGTGTGGATTGTGTTTGTGTGTGAACAGCTGTGAACTGGTCATCACAGTGACAGAAGATTCCAGAATCCAAAACAAGAGAAAATTATTTTGGCATAAATTTGTAATCAGATTAACATTTTAATAATTATCAGGCCGCCTGTGACAACAAAGATAAACAATAGATGTTAATATATTTGGCAGGCAGATGAATAGGAGTAGCCTGATTGCATTCAAGCCAGTGGTCACTGTGAAAGTAAGACAACGGTTTGTTTCAGCCCAAGATGAAGACTGCTGCTCAAGGCTCCGCGAGATACATTTCCCGCTTCGACAAAAACAGAATGAAAGTCTGAAATTGGTGTTTCTCTCTTTTTGTCATTCCATCCTCCTCAGTGTTGGGAAGGTTACTTTTAAAATGTATTCCAATACAGAATACATGCCCCAAAATGTATTCTGTAACGTATTCCGTTACGTTACTCAATGACAGTATTCTGAATACTTTGGATTACTTAATATATTATCATGCTTTTTACAACAACGTGAATGTACTATTGCTGTGTGATTTATTACTATTACTTTACTACAGTTCGCGACTCCGAACTGTAGTAAAGGGACCTCTGACTAATACGGCGGGGTCCCTTTCGGCTCGTGGCCGAAAAATAGCTTTACCTTGTTGTGTGGGTCAACTTTTCTTGACAGAGAGAGGCGTTGAAAGGCTGCTCCAACGGAACTTATTGTTTTCGGAGGAAAACACGAACACAGTGTACAGTCGAGTCTTAATAGCTTACTTACAACTGGGCTCATCAGGCACTCTTCTTGGCTGCAGTGGTTATTATTATATTTACATGCTTCCAGCTCCCGTTTTTGCTCGATGACAACTCGTACCTTTCCACTCCCTTTTTTCTCCCTCCTCGCGCTCACAGACCCATAACGTGTAAGGCAGTCCATTCTCCCTGCAGCACGGACTACACTGCCCATGATGCTACATTCTTTAGAGCTATGCTTGTAGCATTCAGCCTGTTAGCTTAGCACAACAACAACGAAAAGGCGCTCTCTCACCCAGGAAACACACAGTCGCAGAGAGAGCGCGTCGCCCTGTAACCATGGCAACCGTAACGCTGCCGCCTGGAACAACAGACCGTAGCTGTCAAACAAAACCCAAACAGTCCTGACCCGCGACAATATGAAACAGGAAAGTACCGCAGTGTAATCCATTTATTTCAACAAAGTAACTGTATTCTGAATACCACCTTTTTAAACGGTAACTGTAACGGAATACAGTTACTCATATTTTGTATTTTAAATACGTAACGGCGGTACATGTATTCCGTTACTCCCCAACACTGATCCTCCTCCTTAATTCTAATTTATCACCAAGGATTACATGTAAATGCACAGGCAGCAGATCGTCGTGGAAATTAAACAACTGCTCTGTGTAACTCTCCACAAGCAACTTACGGAATTTCCACAGCTTCTACGACAGGATTAACAGAGGAAAAAGCAAAAAAGGATTAACAGAGGAAATTATAGCCAGTAAATTACTATTAAAAAAAGTTTCAAAAGCATGCTAAATATCTCAGACGCTGTATAGAAACCTCTTAGGATAAAAGACAGGGTTATGGCGGTAACAATCAAGCATTTTTAATAACTGAGATATTTTGGATGTTGGCTTTGAGTAAGAAATTTAATGGCACTATGGCGGTTGATAACAGCATCACCATACTACCACACCATACACCATATTAGACTGTTTACAATGATTTATACATATTAGATAGTATACAAAATTAGAAAGAAAAACTAAAAATGTTAGCTTTTATCACCAGAGTTTATAACTTTTAAATTATTTGACAAGGTTATTGTACTATGGTCAACTAATGTACCTAAAGAAAATAGTTTTACACCACAAAGCCCGATGGTTGTAAACTTATGTAGATAGGGCAAGTTGGATATATGTTTCAGACTGTAGTTTATCAGTGAAACAAATTTTATGGAGTCCTGAATCTTCCATATTTATCAACTGTTGCATTAAGAGTACCAAGGAATATGAGCTCTATGTCAAAAATGTTTTCATCTGTGTTTTATAAGTTTTCCTCCCAGGCTTCAGTCAATATAACCTTAGTAGCAAATTAAGGCGGATTGTAGCTTGAAAGCCAGGCTGCACCCAAGAGTCAGCAAAACACGTTGCTGTGCAACCTTCTACTGACTATTTTCTCTGAGCACACTGTAATAACTTAAAGCAACTCTAATAGGTGTGTACACATGTTGAGCAGCTCCTCTCATCTCTCATCCAGATATTGGCAGCTTGACAGGGAAAGGAGACCATTTGGTGGGAGGAAAAAGTCAAACTGAATAACCTGGAATGAATAAAGAAAAAAAGGAAAAGGAAAGCATGCTCTTATAATTTGTGGTCTTCAAACTAGCCAATTGATAATCAAAAGTTCATTGTTTTATAGGAAGTCCTCTTCATCTCTTAGATGAATAAATTCAGAATATGAACACTTTGCTGGCTGGAGGTAAATTCTATCCTAAATAATAACTACTTTGTTTACCTGTGTAAAGTAATGGCAGGAAGTGTGTCAGAGACCCTGTGGAACACTGTGAAG